TCCCCGTATTTCCACTCTACCACCCTGCCTCAAAATTAAAAGAAATACAAATGTTGTACATATAAATCAGAGCATCCCAAAAGGTCACTGGAAATCAAACACAAACACCTATTCCCTTTGAAATTCACCAAGGACATTGGTGGCAGTGAAATGAAAACAGGCACTATCACAAAAACAGAACTGCTAAAAACAATCCCTTTAGAATCGTCAGACAATGTGTGCACCTTATAGGCCTATTATTTCAAACTTATTAACAACTTTTCTTCACAGAGAAAAAAGTTCTTATACACCTACTGTATTCAGTGTGGTTCTAACCTGAAATATATGTATAGTTGGGTTACATAATCACATTTCACAGCGTGCTTTAGAAGTGATGAGATTAATTTTTAAAAACCACACCACATAGACTGATAGTCCATCCACCCATCCACACAAACAAGTACTGACAAAGTACTAGTTACTGCTCTAGACATTCACTCATTCATTCATGAGACTATCAAATAAATCTGAGACTTGTTGATATTGACGTAACCCTCAAGGCTCTCAGTTCTATCCACATGTAGTTAAATACTATGCAAAATAAATAGCATTTTCACAAAATACAGTTTCCACAAACCCATTAGGCAGGAAATCATGTAAAACCAAATCTGTATATAGTATGTAGAACCAATTTAATTCTGAAGGATAACTTGTGCCATAGGATAGTCTGTCTTGGAAGGAGAGCTAGAGAGCTTTAGGGAGGATTTCAAAGTAGATGCTTAATAAACATTTCCTGAGTTACTAAATGAACTAAGTGAATTTTCCTGGCCCTTAGTGATAATCCTATGAGATTCCAGGAAGAAAATTAGCTCACTTATCATCAAAGAGCAACAACAAAACGATTCAATATGAATACTGTGATGCCTCCTTCACTCTTGGCTTTTACCACTTAACTCCATCAGTGGAAAAGGGGGGTTGGAGGGAGGATGGGGATCATGAGAGTCTGTGAAGCTCCCTGTTATACAATATGCATTAAGATTTCAAACAAACTTAACTTTGTCAATTTAGGAACTCATGGGGGTGCAGAGGTAGGGGCAGGATCTTCTAAGAGTTAACTCTTACAAAAGAAGGCAAAAAGAATTTTGGAAATTTAGGAAGACTAACTATAGGACGTGTATTTGGGGTAAAGCTCCTCTCCTTCATCCTTGGAGCGGGAGGGAAAAGTGACCCAAACACTCTGAGGCTGAGGCAGGCAAAGGAGTGCTGCCCCTGGGTGCGCAGGCTTGGAGCTAATAGCACACAGCCCACAGCACAGCAGCCACGGAGCAACCTTAACCACAGAATCAATCCCAGAAGTAGCCTCACTCCCTCACTGAGTATACTTGAAAAGATGCAATTATGTTCTTTAAAAGTTCTACTTACTGAACTTTTATCCCCTTCCAATAAAACCAGAGATTTGTCCTCGAGTCTGAACTTGAATAATAGGACTTCTGGCCACATAACACAGCACATCAATGTTTCTCTCTCTCTTCCTCTCTCTGCCTTCCACTCTATCTGAACAAAAAATGGGAAAATGTCCTCGGGTGAGGATTAAAAAATAATAATAATAAAATAAATAAATAAATAAATAAATAAATGATAGCCTTGCTGGGTAAAGTAGCCTAGGTCCCTGCTTTTCATCACTTTGAATATTTCACGCCATTCCCTTCTGTGTTGAAATGTTTCTGTTGAGGAATCAGTGGACATTCTTACGAGATCTCCTTTGTAGGTAATTGTCTTTCTCTTGTAGCTTTTAAGATTCTGCATCTTTAACCTCTGCCATTTTATTTATGATGTGTCTTGACGTGGGCCTCTTTGGGACCATTTTGTTTGGGCCTCTCTGCGCTTCCTGAACTTGCATGTCTTTCTCTTTCACCAGGTTAGAAAAGTTTTTGGTCATTATTTCTTCAAATAGGCTCTTGGTCCCTTGCTCTCTCTTCTCCTTCCGGAACCCCTATGATGCTGATGTTGTTACATTTCATATTGTCCCAAAGATCCCTTAAACTATCCTTATTTTATTTTTCTTTATTGATTTTTAGAGAGGAAGGAAGAGGGAGATAGAAAAATCAACAAGAGAGAATACTGATGGGCACCTCCTGCATGCCCCCCTTTGGGGATTTGGGTGTGTGCTCTGACCGGGAATCGAACTGGCGACCTCTTGGTGCATGGGTTGATGCTCAAGCACTGGGCCACACTGACTGAGCTAAACTGTCCTCATTTTTTTAAATTTGGTTATTTTTGCAGCTCTGATTGGGTACTTTTTTCTACTTTTCTTCCAGATCACTGATTTGGTCCCCTGCTTCATCCAATCTACTGATTATTCCTTCCACTGTATTTCTTCATTTCAGATATTGCATTCTTAATTTCTGACTGGTCCTTTCTTATGGTTTCTGTGTAATTTTTCATGCTGCTGAGCTTCCTTATAACTATTACTTTGAACTCTATTTCTGATAAATTGCTTGTCTCCATTTCATTTAGCTCTTTTTCTGGAGATTTCACTTGTGGGGCCTTGTTTGTCTCCCCACTTCGGCCACCTCTTTCATTTGTTTCTGTTTATTAGATAGATCTACTGTTTATTAGATTAGACTATCCATCTTCATGCAGTGGCCTTATGTAGTAGGTGTCCTGTGGGGTCCAGTCTCTTTGATCACCTGAGCTGGGAGCTCTAGGATTGTTCCTTGTGTGGGTTATGTGGGCCCTCCTGTTATAACTGAATCTTGAGTGCTATTGGCCTATTCATGTATGGGGTTGACCCTCAAGCTGGCTGACTGTGAAGCTCAACCCCAACCACAGCATGTGAGCAGCTGTGCAGTTGCTCCACCTGAATCGGAATTTGCCACAGCAGAATTTGGTGCCTGCTGAGATCTCCCTTTGGATATGCTGCTTGTGAAGCTTATTGGATCCTGCTCTGATGTTGTCTGAAGCTGGCTACTGGGTATGTTTGTGCTGGGACTCTTGGGAGGGATTCAGGTGCAGGCCAATGTAAGATACGGCCTGTGACTGGCCCTCAGCAACCTTTTCGGAGCTATAGGCAATCCAGTTTGTGGCTACTTCTACCAGGCTTGGGTATGTGTAGGAAGGATGAAGCTGCGCACCAATGCCAACTTTTACCAGCACCAGGCCTGGAGGCAGGTCAGCAAAAGTACAAAGGTATCCTGAGATCCACCTCCACCTGCCTCAGCTTGCCGGCTGCCTGTTAGGCTCAGAAACTGAAAGACCCTCTGGCTATACTTCTCAGCAGGGCATAAGCTCCACAGGGTGAGGTGAGAGAGAGTCCAAAGGATAGGGCTATTGATTCCTCAGGCTGATGCCATATGGAGGGGAGTGCTTCACTCAAAAAGGATATGGGAGAAGGACTCTGTACAGGCATCCTGGAGGCTGTTCCTCAGCTCCCTCCTCAGAGCCACAAACCACAGACTCTCCTCACATGACTCTAGTGCACTCTGCCTTCTCTCCACTGGAGTCCAGGGCGAGTGGCTGTGAACAAACTTTTGTATGTTGGCCCTTTAAGAGGGTGCCTGTGTCTCTTGCAGACTTCCATTTCTCCCTGGCAGACAGAAAACTAGCTGCTTTTCAGAGCCTCTTACTGGCTCTGGTGCTCTGGGCTGGGGAGCCCAGCTTGGGGCTCAGACCCCATGCTTCTCAGGGGGAACCCCCTGCAGCTGAGATATCTCTACAGCACCTCAGCTGCCAACCATGGGAGTGGGGCCTGTCCTTTCCATATCTCTGCCCTTCCTACAGACTCAAAGTGGCTTCTTCTATAAATCCTTGGTTATAAGACTTTTCCTCAGCTAGTCTTCAGTTGTTTATCTAGGATGATTGTTCTATATTTTAGCTGTAGTTCCAGTTTGGTCCTGGGAAGAGGTGAATGTAGCTTCCACCCACTCTGCTGCTATCTTGGATCTCAGTCCTTATTGCCTTTAATAAAGAAATTCCTTGCATTATTTCACCCCTTGCTGTACTGGCAGTTGGAGACCAGTCCAATAACTTCACGGCTTGTCTTCTAACACAATGTTTCTGTCTGGAATACACATGCACACATTTTATTTTTTTAATAGAGCATGTCATCTATGAGACCCAAACACCTCTTTCAGTGACAAGAAATTCTGGTCATTGAAGTTCCTCAAAAAATACTGCTTAATACCCAGAAATTTTTCTATGACTTCCTGATCAAAGAAATAATGAGTTTATACTATTTTACCTGAAAACACTTAAATCTAATTCTGGAATTCTAATCAAATCTATACATCTATGTATTGTATCACAGTGAATTTTTCAGAAAAAACTCCAAACATCATTTATCTCCTTTTATATTACATATATATATATATATATATATATATGCGTGTGTATACACACACACACATATTTCCTCCTTAACTTTGGGGGGGGGGTTAATTCTCACCTGAGGATCTTTTTCCATTGATTTTCTTAGAGAGAGTATAAAGGAGGGAGGAAGAGAAGGAGAGAGAAACATCGATGTGAGAGAGACTCATTTATTGGCTATCTCCCTCACGACCCTGACCAAGGCAGGGGATTAAACCTGCAACCCAGGTACATGCCCTTGACTGAATTGAACCTGAGACCCTTCAATCCATGGGCCAATGCTCTAACCACTGACCCAAACCGTCCAGGGCTCTCATCTTTCAAAGCTTAGAAGTCAAAGAACTTATTCTCTATACGCCCCATAAATCATAACTGCAATCATCCAAGCTCAGGAGTAATTTTGTATAAAACAATAAGCTTTTTAAAATCAAGTAACTCTCCTCTAGAACAAAAGGGCTCTGGGGCTCTGGCTGAGTCAGGGGAAAAGCAATAAATAGGGGCAGTTGTTGGGAGGCAGTAAGACTATATATAGCCCTTCTAACACAAAATACCTGGAGGGTGGAGGGGTGCAAGGCTGTGCCAGAGGGGCAAGAGTCTAAACAAGGTCATGGCTAATTCTCTTCCACTCTTGGGTGTCTGAAAGAAAAATTACCCAGATAACAGAAGGACAGGCAGCTACAGTCATGATAGACTAGAGATGGAAATACACATCAGTCAACCATTCAAAAGCTGAATGCTACAAATGAAACTCAAGATAACAAAAGCTTCTTTGATTTGTAAACTTGCACTCATAAATACAAACTCTCAAAATGAAATTCAGTGAATTTTCAACAAGTCTTTTCAACAGTGATACACAATAAATATTCTTCCCTTAGAATCAATCCTACTAAATAGAAACATACTAAAGAACCATTTTCCAAAGCAACATTATAGTTGAGAACAGGTATTCTGAGTGGAGTAGATAATACTGCTGGTGTAGGGTGCACATGTGTTAGGATCTAACAAGGATCTTACTGAGGATTGCATCATAGTAGGGACTGAAGACCATCTTGTTATAGTTGACCAGGCGAACAAATTTAATAGCAACTTCTTCCAGCTCTTTGTGGACTGGACCCAATCCCCCAGGTACTGTGGGCAATGGCTTCTGATGACCTGAGGCAAGGTAGGTTTCTAAGAAGGTAAGGATTCGGGAATCTGTAATAGAAAAGAAAGCAGGTGGTTGTTTCTTGTTCAGGGTGACAAACTTCTGATTATGCTTCAGTTTTTTGCTTACTCATCACCTTTTCAGGAAAGTCTTTCCTGACCACTCCCTAGATCAGGTACCCATAGCACTTTGCACTTCTGAATAGTCATTGCCTTTGTAATGTTTCCTCTCCCCCTCTAGATGGTTAGTTTCATGAAGGTAGGAACCATGACTATTGTATTCATCATTTTCTCCCCAGCAACCAGCACAGTGCCTGGCATGAAACTTGGCCCCTGTAAAAGCTCAAAATACATTTGGAAATCAAGAACAAATGTATGAATAAAGGGAGACCAGAGTTTTAACAGGTTCTGCTCTTAGAAGAGCAAGACACACTGTGACCAACATCAGCCATTGTTGAAGATCACATAAAAAATGGGATGAGCCCTGGCAAGTTTGGCTCAGTAGTTAGAATGTTGACCCGCAGACTGAAGAGGGCATGTACCTTGGTTGTGAATTTGATCCCCGGACCCGTTCGGGGTCATTTGGGAGGCAGCCAATCGATGTTCTCTCTCTTTCTCCCTCCCTCCCACTCTATCTAAAAGTCAATGGAAAAATCTCCTTGGATGAGGATTTAAAAAAATAGGATGAAAAATAAAACAGGAATTACAAGTTCAAAAAAGAAAAGAGAAAAAAGAAGATTCCAGCCCAGCTGGTGTGGCTCACTGGTTGAACGTCGACCCATGCTCCAAGAGGTCACCAGTTTGATTCCCAGTCATGGCACATGTCCAGGTTGTGGACCCGATCCCCAGGTGGTGGCCAATCAATGTTCTCTTTGATCGATGTTTCTCTCTCTCTCTCTCTTTCCCTCTCCCTTCCTTTCTTTCTAAAAACAATAAAGAAAAAAATATTTTTAAAAAAAGATGATTCCAGCATCACTGGCTTATCATCTGTCTTTCCCCACTAACCCCATATAAAGAAGCATGAACTTCCTACTTTTTTTTTTTTTAATCCTCACCTGAGGACATTTTTCGATATTTTGTCCAGATAGAGTGGGAGGGAGAGAGGGAGAGAGAGAGAAACATCGAAGTGAAAGGGACACATTGAGTGGTCACCACCCGCACGACCAACCAGGGCTGGGGACAAACTGCAACTGAGGTACGTGCCCTTAGCAGGAACTGAACCTGGGTCTCTCTGGACCACAGGCCAATGCTCTAACCACTGAGCCAAACCAGCCAGGGCTGAACTTCCTACTTTAATGCCTACAATGGAAGGCCGCGGAGTTGGGGGCATTTATAAAGTTGTCCTACTGTGAGGAATAATTTAGGTTGATGTTTTAGCCCATTCCCTTCTACAATATTTCTGCACTCTCCTGTGTATCCTCATCAGCCAAAAACTGTGTACACAAGCCACATTTCTTTTTTTTTATCCTCACCTGAGGACATTTTTGCATTTATCTTCAGACAGAGTAGGAAGGAGAGAGGGAGGAAGAGAGAGAGAACATCAGTGTGAGAGGGACACACTGACTAGTTGTCACCCACACAACCCCATGGGGCCGGGTACAAACTGCAACCGAGGTACACGCCCCTAGCAGAAACCGAACCCGGGACTCTCTGGTCGGCGGGTTGACGCTCTAACCCCTGAGCCAAACGGGCCAGGGCCACAAGCCCCATTTCTTATGGATTTTCTGACAACAGCAATAGGGACAGCTTTATTGACTGGGCTTTCTCACACTACCTGCCCACGCCCTGCCCCGAGGAACTCTTCTCAGGTACAAATGACTTAAACCCTTCAGAATCCTGTAACACTGACAGAAAATGCGAACTGGATCACCCTAGTTCCAATGTTAGTTTGATTTTCTAAGGTTTTCTAAGGTTCCCAGAGCTCGAAGCCTCACCCAGAAATGGAGATCCTCATGTCATTCCTACCTGAGGGGCAGTTTTTATCTCCACGTCTATAACTGGCTGTTTACTAAACAGCCAGGATGGCAGGACAAGGAGCAGCTCTATTTACAGGCACTTTCCTGAATCTCTGTCAAGGTCAATAATATTAATTTTGATGATCTGACGACCCAGCAATATCTTCAAGAGGATGCTCCAGAGTGATGCACAGGAAAAATTGTGACCGATGCAGGGCTGGTATAAAATAATTTTTTAAAACCACTGACCGCCCTGGCCAGTTTGGCTCAGCGGTTAGAGCGTCAGCCTGCGGTCCGGAGAGACCCTGGTTCGGTTCCCGCTAAGGGCACGTACTTCGGTTGCAGTTTGTCCCCGGCCCAGGTTGGTCGTGCGGATGGCAGCCACTCGATGTGTCCCTTTCACATCGATGTTTCTCACTCTCTCTCCCTTCCTCTCTCTCCCTCCCATTCTATCTGTACAAAAAATGGAAAAATATCCTCGGGTGAGGATAAAAAAAATAAAAAAAAAATAAAACCACTGACCCACATAACCCTTTTTGCATAAAATATGGAAAAAAAGTTTAAAATATTCTTTTACTAAGAATAATTTTTAAAAAGTTATAGTATTAGAAGTAGGCCTACCTTCCAGCCTTCTACTTCAACCTAAAATCTAATAACCACAAATCATTCAGCTTTTTTTTTTTTGGTGGTACATGCCCCTAGAGGGAACTGAACCTGGGACTCTCTGGTCTGCAGGCCAACGCTCAACCACTGAGCCAAACTGGCCAGGGCAGTCATTCCGCTTTCGCTGGAGCAGGCTTTTCAATCAAGGCCTGTAATTTCAAAGTCAGGGCCTTCAGAATGAAGATGGCTGCCTGGTCACTTGCCCAAACCTTTGAGTCACCCTAAGCGTACTGTGGTGATCCCTGCTTTCTGCCTTCCCCCAAACATACCCATGATCCTGCGGATGGGGTCATCAGGACTGGCCACGGCCTGGATCTGGCCCTTCAGCGCGGTCTCCTTGTCCGTGGTAAAGGGGCTGAACCCACACAGGGAAAGGCAGCTGCTCACCTCCAGGCAGACTTTCTCCCCAATGGCAGTCAGGGCATCCTTCAGATGGAAGGAGCTTGAACAGAAAAGGGAAAGGAGAAGCCAAGGAAGAGAGAACCTATAAACAAAGTACACATCTGCACATGTCCTTACAAGTCACGATAACCAATTCATGGACTGATGTGTTCAAAGGGAACATTTTTTACTCCATTCCCTGTGGGGTTAGGGTGTTGGAAGATGGACAATTTGTAACCTTGTGTTAATGCATTCTCACTAGCTGGCCAGCCCAGGTGCACTGAGTGTTTCATTTGCATGTGAATAAGATAAGGTTTACATGGGTGGACTAATGGGTCCTAGGACTCAAGAACGTCTGTGTTTGTCATTTTTTAGTGTCCAGGTCTCTTTCTGCCATAAAAAGCAAGAGACAAAGCTAGGCTGTATGGTTTGCAGAGACACCATCTCAAGGAAATATTTTACATAAATCCACTTGTAACCTGGGGGAACCAATCTGCAAATAAATGGGACTGCATCCAAAGATCTGGAGCATTTGCTCCCTTGCAACGCTCCCCCCCACTTCAAGCAACGTGTGCTTGTAGTTTCATTGCATTGCGCCAATCCCAGCAGGCCGAGAGACAGCAATTCCCTGCCCCTAACCTCTCAGGCTGTATACACCTGACTCAGGGACTGTCTCTGTCCTGTCTCTGTTCCCTCCCCTCAACCCCAGAAAGAACAGTGGGAAGGGAGGAACTCAGATTACATCAGGATCAACAACCCAAAACCCAACTTCTTGCTAGCATCTGTGTGGTGAAAAGCCTGGAACTGACTTAAGAATATCTTGACTATCTCTGGAACAATACACAAGAAACCAAAAATCTGGTAGCTGTGGGAAAGAAATGGGAGAAACTTTACCCTTTTTCCCTTTTGATTTTCAAAATACGTGAGTATATTAACTACTTTAAAAGAATAATGAAATTGAAATCTCAAAGTTAAGAAAATTAACATTGCCCTGGCTGATGTGGCTCAGTTGGTTGAGCATTGTCCCAGGCACCAAGAAGTCGCTGGTTTAATTCCCAGTCAGGGCACATATAGGTTGTGGGTTCAGTAGGCAACTGAATGATGTTTCTCTCTCACATCGATGTTTCTCCCCTTCTCTAAGATAAATAAAAATGTATTTAAGAAAAAAAGAAAAGAAGCCCTGACCAGTTTGGCTCAGCGGTTAGAGCATCGGCCTGCAGTCCAGAGAGACCCAGGTTCGGTTCCCGCTAAGGGCACGTACCTCGGTTGCAGTTTGTACCCCGCCCTGCTTGGTTGTGCGGGTGGCAGCCACTCGATGTGTCCCTTTCACGTTGATGTTTCTCTCCCTCTCTCTCTTTCTCTCTCTCCCTCCCACTCTATCTGAAGAAAAAAATGGAAAAATGTCCTCGGGTGAGGATAAAAAAAAGAAAAGAAAATTATGATCTGGATTTTCTGGGGTCCCCAGGCTCTCCTTGAGTGTCTATTGGGAGCCCTCCTGCTGGTGGGTACTCAGTGAGAAAGCAATTAATTGCCTTTGTTCTGGGTCTAGATTCTTTGAACAGCAGAATCAGTGGGAGCAAATGAGCAAGCCCTGGGACGCGCTGCTGGCACCAGCTCTGACTGCCAGGGTGAACAAGGCAGTGCAGGGCTGGACTCCTGAGGAAGCGTTGAACAGGGCCCCTCTCATCAGTAACTGTGACAGAGCAGTTCTACTGGAGGTAGACCTAGGTGACAGCTCAGGCTAGGCCTCAGCTCAGCAAACACCCGCCTGGCCTAAGTCAAGACTATTGAACCTCTAGTAACAATATGTGAACACGCCCTTCACCGCACCAAACGCATGCTTCCTGCAAACTCAGCAGTAAAATTCCTCCATTTTGTAAGGATGGGACTGTTTGGGGACATCCCCCTTAAAGAATCCTCTAACCCTGGCTGGTTTTGCTCAGTGGTTAGAGCGTCAGTCCGCGGACCAATAGATTTGGGCTCGATTCAAGTCAAGGGCGTGTACCTCGGTTGCAGTTCGTCCCCGGCCCTGGTTGGGTCATGCAGGAAGCAGCCGGTCGATGTGGCTCTATCACATCAATGTTTCTGTCTGTCTCTCCTTCCCTCCCACTCTATCTGATAATAAATAGAAGAATACTCTCGGGTAAGGAATAAAAAAGAAGAATCCTCTAAATTGGACCTTGTCAGGCCTTGTTTACTTAGAATCATTCAAAAATATTCAATATGCTGTAAACTACATAAATCACCTATTCTGATTTCACTGCAAGAGCAGTTACAGCAGCTGCCCTCAAAAATACGAATAAGTGCTGGCTGAAAAATACTTCATTTATACTCAGCACAAAATGTCTACGAGGAATAAGCAAAGGGCAGAAAACTTTAATTGCAACATGCAACTCTGAGGAATATGACTAGTTTCTTATATGGACTTTCCCTAGGGCTTACTGTCCAAACTGTTAGTTGGTTGTGAAAGCAATTCAGTGGGTAGCAAACAGTAGTTTTTAATGGAATATACCAGGGTATATTAAGCATAGTTAGGGTAAGTTTCACTTTGTGGAATTTTTATTTCAGCTACTTACGTGTCTAAGTGTGTACTAAGTCAAAATAGAAAATGAATTTCTTACTATGAGTTCTGGTCAAAAACATTTGAGCCCTGGCCGGTTTGGCTCAGCGGTTAGAGTGTCGGCCTGCGGTCCAGAGAGACCCGGGTTTAGTTCCCGCTAAGGGCATGTACCTCGGTTGCAGTTTGTCCCTGGCCCTGGTTGGGTCGTGCGGGTGGCAGCCACTCGATATGTCCCTTTCACTTTGATGTTTCTCTCTCTTCCTCTCTTCTCTCCCTCCCACTTTATCTGAACAAAAAAATGGAAAAATGTCCTCAGGTGAGGGAAAAAAAGAAAATATTTGAAAGTCACTATCCTAGAGCCTTGCGAACCCTAGAGTTGATTCTAATTTTGACCGTATGCCTGAATAAATTCTGCTGGGTAAAGAAAGTTGGAGAGCAAGGCTTCCTCTCAGTTCCTAAAGAGTGGCCCCAGATTCTGCCTTCCACTCAGAGACCCCAGTGCCAGTCTCCTCTCTGCCCATGCGATGCCTCCCTTCCATCCATTGAAGGTCCTCCAAGCCACTTACGGCAGATGCATATCTGTTAGCAGGATCTTCACCATCATCTTGAGTTTCTCAGCAAAGCTGGCCTGGCTGGAAATTCCTGAGGCTGCCATGCTGTATGTGACCAGCAGTACGGCTCCCAGGACGGTCAGTTGCTCCAACTGGAGCTGGAGCTCTTGGAAGCGAGGTTGATCCATCAAAACTGTCTGTAATGAAAACATTAGAAACCATCCTTGAGTTAGTATAGATTCGGGCCGGCCAGCAGAGGGCGGTGGGACCACGGCCTCCCACATCCCTCTAAAGTCTCCCTCAGATTTTTTAGTCATTTCAGAGCCATAAAGGTATCGTGTGTAAATTCTCCTTCCATCTCAGAGCACCTTCTTTAAAAAGGCTGCAGTAGAGCACACAGTAAGAACACGAGACAGACTAGGTGTGATCCAGACTCTTGTCATTTAATAGCAGCATAAACTCACGCAAGTTTTTCAACTCAGCCCTACACAGAACAAGGATTGCTACCTCACAGAGCTGTTTTAAAGACAAAGAGACCATGCATATAAAGTGGCTGGCAGAGGCAATACTCAAAAAATAAAAGTTATATCATTAGATGGGAAAGGGTAATGAGATACAGATTGAGGGTAACCAACTCACCCCAATTTGTCCAGGACTGTCACAGTTTTAAAACTGAAATTCCTAACTGAACCACCACCACCCCATTGTAAGAGTGAAATGCTCCCTCCCTCTGACTCCCTGTGTTCCTGGCAGTGTTGTTCCCATGGCCTTCAGGCTAGTAGCTCCTGCTTTGTCTTGCATACAGACATGCTAATCATTAGGAATTCTACTTGTGGCCTGAGTTTTACAAAATCAGCCCCTCCCACATTCCATTCCCTTGATTCTGTACTTTCTGAAGATGGATTTGAGAGTTAGACCTCATATTTTCTTTTTGCATTTATCTTCAGATAGAGTGCCAGGGAGAGAGAGAGAGAGAGAGAGAGAGAGAGAGAGAGAGAGAGAGAGAAACATCGACATGAGAGAGACACATTGAGTGGCTGCCACCCACACGACCCCAACCTGGGCCAGGGACAAACTGCAACCGAGGTACATGCCCTTAGTGGAAACCGAACCCAGGACTCTCTGGTACACAGGCCAGTGCTCCAACCGGTGAACCAAACAGTCAGGGCTAGATCTCCTATTTTCTTAGCTGGTGCCTTCTTGATCAATAAACCTTCCCTTACTCTGGACTCCAATGTTTTCATTAGGCACAAGGACTTTGGACGGGTAACGCCCTCCCCCCAACACACATACAACACACCACACACACACACACACACCCCAATCCTGGGCAAACCACACAGCTAGTCACCCAATCCAGCACCAGAATGAAGAGGGGAGAAAGTCCTTGAGGGCAGAGACCACACTGATTCACCCTCAGTACCTAGCAGAAAGGAGGCTCTCAAGAATTAGTAAGTGAGCCCAGCCAGTGTGGCTCAGTTGGTTGAGTGTCATTCCCATGCACCTAGAGGTCACTGGTTTGACTCCCCGTCAGGGCACATGCCTGGGTTTTGGCCTTGACCCCCAGTAGGGGGCGTATAAGAGGCAGCCAACTGATGTTTCTATCTCTCCCTTCCCCTCTCTCTAAAATCAATAAAAACATATTTAAAAAAAACAATTGTTAAGTGAATAAAGAAAGAGAAAAATAAACAGTAAATTTAAAAAGTGGGAATTATAGATAATAACCCAAAGCCTCCTGGAAAGCAGTCAGTGGTGCATTTCCATGACTGTACCCTGGGTCCTACCAGGGCAAAGTCCCCTGTGTGGAATGAGGAAAGGAGCAGTAGAAAGACCGAGGAGATATGACTTCTGACCTGAGTTTTTACAGGTTAATCAAATAAACTTTAAGGACTGGTCTTGCTATAAGAAACTGACATACCAAATCAAGACAGTAACAATTTGGGGTCTTAGTCCAGAATTCTTCTCAAGAAATAAAAACTATCCTTGAAGATTGACACTCCACTGTTAAACACAGATGCTTCAACCGACTTCCCATCCACCTCTTTCATGAATTCATTTTGCTAAACAGCAGCATCCTTGCTTTAATGCCTCCCAGTAGTATGTAGTCCATGAATTCAGGATGCAAAAGATTTCCAAGGACCAATTCTGAGAATAGATATCTGTCCCCAGTGAAAACACCTTTCTCCTCACAGCTATTTTTGAGACTGAGAACTGTGCTCCAGGAGAGAACATGCCACTATTCAGAAAGAAACTGCTCCCTACTCCCTTCCTCCTAATTCAACACCTTCCTCTGGCACAAAACAAGGAACTCAGAGGCAAGCGGTGAAACCTTAGGCTTAAAATGTCATGAAAACAACAATAAGGAACTCAGAGATAAAGATATTTAGAGAAGTAGCAGCATCTGGGCTAGAGATCAGAAGCCTGAATGCCCTCCAAAAAGAGGGGGCAGTCTACACACCAAACCAGCTATTTGCAGACAAAATAGGGAAATCCCTTGTTAATCATCTCCTCAAAGGACTACTGCAGTTGGAAGTACTTACTGTGAAAAACATAAAAAAAAAAAAATATTGCTCTGAATAGAAGGAGAAGTTTCTTTAGATAAAAGTGAAAGGCAACATCATTGCTACTGTTTTTAAGCAAGATAAGTAATAGCAGGATAGTAGTTCAGCAGCACAAGCTGATGGGATTGTAAAATGAGCAGCTACTTTGGAAAACAGTTCCTCAAAATTAGTTAATGTTAAGCCCTGGCCGGTTTTGCTCAGTGATTAGAACGAAAGGTTGAGCGTTTGATTCCTGGTCAAGCACACATACCTGGGTTGCGGGTTCAATCCCCAGCCCCAGTCGGGGTTGTGCAGGATACAACCAATTGGTATCTCTCTCACATCAACGTTTCTTTCTCTTTCCCTCCCTCCCTCCTAGGAATCAATGAAAAAATATACTCAGGGGAGGATTAAACAAATAAAACAAAAAATGTTAAAGTTAAGGGTCACTACATGACCCAACAGCTTATCCGAGGTACATACCCAAGAGAACTGAAAACATATGTTCACACAAAAACTTGTACACAAATATTCACATCTGCACAATCAATAATAGCCAAAAAATGGAAACAATCCAAATGTCCATCAACTGATAAATGAATAAACAAAATGTGGTATAGCCAAATAGCCTTGAAAAGAAATGCTGAGGAACACTGAAGACATTATGCTGAGTGAAATAAGCTAAACACAAAAGAACAAATACTGTGTAATTTCACTCATATGAGGTATCTACAGTACTCAAAATCAGACACAAAGTAGAATGTTGGTTGCCAGGGACGGGAGGAAAAAAGAATGAGTTACTGTTTAAAGGGTACAGAACCCTGGATGGGTAGTTCAGTTGATTAGAACATCATCCTGTATGCCAAGGTTGTGGGTTTGATTCCTGGTCAGTGTACAGGGTACATACAAGAGGCAACCAATGTATGCATAAATAAGTGGAACAACAAATCCATGTTTCGCTTTTTTTCTTTCCCCCTTCCTCTCTTTAAAGTTAATGAAATTTTTTAAAAAATTAAATCAATTAAAAAATAATAATAAAATAAAAAATAAAGGGTATAGCCTGGCCGGTGTGGCTCAGTGGTTGAGCATCAACCCATATACCAAGAGGTTGCCAGTTTGATTCCTAGTCAGGGCACATGCCCAGGTTGTGGGCCCAATTTCTAGTGTGGGGCATGCAGGAGGTGGCCAATCGATATTTCTCTCTCATGGATGTTTCTATCTCTCTCCTTCTCCCTTCCTCTCTCTAAAATTAATTAAGAAAAAAATTATTAAAAATAAATAAATTAGCCCTGGCCAGTTTGGCTCAGCGGTTAAAGCGTCAGCCTGCGGTCTGGGGAGACCCGGGTTCGGTTCCCGCTAAGGGCACGTACTTCGGTTGCAGTTTGTCCCCGGCCCTGGTTGGTTGTGCGGGTGGCAGCCACTCGATGTGTCCCTTCACGTCGATGTTTCTCTCTCTCTCTCTCTCTTCCTCTCTCTCCCTCCCACTCTATCCGTACAAAAAAAAAAAAAATGGAAAAATATCCTCGGGTGAGGATAAAAAAAAAATTAATAAAAAAAATAAATAAATAAATTAGCCTTGGCCGGTTTGGTTCAGCAGTTGGAGTGTCAGCCTGTGGACCAGAGAGTCCCAGGTTCGGTTCCTGCTAGGGGCACTTACCAAAAAATTAATTAATTAAATTAATAAACAAATAAAGGGTATAGAGTTTCCAGTTATGAAAATGAAAAAGTTCTGAAGATGGATGGTGGTCATGGCTGCATAACAATGTGAATGTACTTAATGCATCTGAACTCTACACTTAAAAATGATAAATTCTGTAATGTCTATTCTACCACAATAAGAAAAATACAACTGAAAAAAAAGAGGAATGGCATACTGACACATGCTACTGTATGGATGAACATTATCCTTAGTGAAAGAAGACAGACACAAAGGCTGATACTGTATGATTCCATTTATAAGAAATGTCCAGCCCTGGCCGGTTTGGCTCAGCAGTAGAGCATCAGCCCACAGACCAATGGGTCCTGGGTTTGATTCCGGCCAGGGGCACATGTCTCAGTTGCGGTTTGTCCCCAGCCCTGGTCAGGGTTGTGCAGAAGGCAACCAGTTGATATGCCCTCTCACATCGATGTTTCTCTCTTTCTCCCTCTCTCTGTACCTGAAGATAAATAGTAAAAAAAGAAGAAAAGAAATGTCCAGAACAGGCAAATCCAGAGATAGAAAGTAGATCAGTGGTTATCAGGGGCTGGGGCAGGGTGGGGGTGGAGGGTAGTGGTGGGGAGGGCGGGAGGCAGGGGGAGTAGTGACTGCTAATGGATACAGGGTTTCTTTTTGGAGTAATGAAAATGTTCTGAAATGAAATAGTGGTAATAGTCACATGATTGTGAATATACAATAAACTACTGAATTGGACAATTTAAAGGGGGAAATTTTGTCGTATATGAATTACAACATAACAAAACTATCATTTATAAAAGTTCAGCAGCACAGAAATAAAGGAGCAGTTAGACTGTTCTGGAGCACTCACCTCAGGGAAAGGTCTCTGGAGGTGGTCCCATTTCAGAAGCTTCAAGTACGCATAATTCTGGACAGCAACAGGATTTGGCATGGGGCCGTCCCCAGAGCCAGTGGCCCCACCCCCAGCGGGCAGGGCATTTTTATACTTCTGATTCATAAGGTCATCTGCGGCTTCTTCCAACCACTGGGTGACAAAGTCCAGGGAATCTGTGGAAAACAAGGCTGTGAACATTACTTTGACAATCAGGAGGGATGCTTCTCGGAACTACTTTAGGGAAGACCATCCTGGAAGTGGGGTAGAGTACAGAGCACGGACTTCGGAATGTCCTAGAACTCAGTCCAAATCACAGTATTGTAATTACTGGCGGAATGATCTTAGACAAGTCATAAACTGTCTGAACATCAGATTCTTAAGATAAAGAAATGTACATAATGTCATAGTCGACTGTGAGGATTAAACAAGATCATGACCTATAAAGCACCTAGCCAGGCCTTGCTCCCTACAGATGTTCAACAAACCTTTGCTCTCTTCTCTCTCACCCTGGTTTTCCCTTGTAGTTCTTAGTCTTGTATCAGTCTGGTTTACTCTCAGCCTTGTGGGAGGTGAGCTCTGTCACATCTGACATGTACCATGCAGCATTTGGAGCACTGTCAGGGGGACCTCAGTTAGCTTTATTTATTTATTTATTTTTTAATCCTCACCCGAAGACACTTTTGCATTCATCTTCAGATAGAGCGGGAGGGAGAAAGGGAGGAAAAGAGAGAGAGAAACACTGATATAAGAGAGACACACTGACTGGTTGCCACCCACACAACCCCAACTGGGGCCGGGGACAAACTGTAACCGAGGTACGTGCCCTTAGCAGGAACCGAACCCAGGTCTCTCTGGACCGCAGGCCGATGCTCTAACCGCTGAGCCAAACTGGCCAGGGCCTCTGTTAGCTTTAAAAAAAAATTTTTTTTTTTTAATTTATTGATTTTAGAGAGAGAGGAAGGGTGAGAGAGGGAGAGAGGAAGAGGGAAAAGAGGGAGATGGGGAGCGGTGAGAATGGGAGGGGAGAGAGAGAGAAACATCAATTTGTTGTTCCACTTATTTATGCATTGATTGGTTGACTCTTGTATGGGACCTGACTAGGGATCGAACCTGCAACCTTGGCTCATCAGGAGGATGCTCTAACCAACTGAGCTTCCTGGTCAGGGCCCTCAGTTGTGTTTCATCCACCATCACACACTTTCTACTACTCTAAGCTGAGTAATATACCAGGAATTCTGAAGGACAAAAGAAAAAGAAAATGAGGTTTCTGTCCACATTTTCTGAGCAAAAAATTTCCCTGTCAGGTCTCGGAATGTGTTGCAGCTCTGCCAGTGGAATCCACCTTAAAACCAGTGGGCAGCCACGGCCATGGCTGGAGTCCACTCTTCGTTGCTGCAACACTCTGCTTCTGTCAACACAGTGATCACAGGGAGCTTTTGGTTCTGAGCTTCGCTCTACCTTCAGCCTCTGCCAACAGCATTCATCGCAGCCCAGCAACTTTGGGAAACCTTGGCTTTTACGCTGTGAGTACCAAGAACCAGACTCTGAGCAGCTCAGGGACTGTAGTAACGCTTCTGCTCTAGCAGTGTGTTCTTTGCTGGGCCCCAGCTGCTGGTCCTGGCTCTCACACAAAGACTCTCCAGCCTGTCAGACTGCAACGCTGGATGTCTCCTGAAGGACAGTACAATACTGGTTGCGGAAGTGAGCTGTGTGATCAATTCTAGTCAAAGCACCATCTTGAACTTCTCTATCTAGGGCTGAGTGAACAACTGCTCAGGGCTGAATGAACTATTCTGGTCAGGCAACACAATCTATGCTGAAACTATCACTTTCACTCTGTGACCAGCCAAGTTAGAGGTTAAACAGGACTAGTCATAAACTGAATCTGAAGATTGCAATTTACCCAGAACAACAGCTGCTGATGCAGGAATCCAAAAAGCACCCTGGAAATGCAACATAGTTTTGGATTCTAGTCATCTGTTTTCCTGCAGTTGTCTGAGAAGTTCATAAAAATAAGACATTTTCTGGGTCTGAATAAGATAAGAAACAAGCAATTCTGTGAAATTTCTTGATGTACCTCACAAGGAAGAGGAAAGTAAATTCAACTGTCACAAGAAGTTTGTCATGTTTTTAAAATCGAGGCCAAGCAGCCCAGCCGGTGTGGCTCAGTGGTTGAGCATCAACCCACGCACTAAGAGATTGTCAGTTCAATTCCGGTCAGGGCACATGCCCAGGTTGTGGGCCCGATCTCCAGTGGGGAGCATGCAGGAGGCAACCAATTGATGTCCTCTCTCATTGATGTTTCTATCTATCTCTCCCTCTCCCTTCCTCTCTCTATAAAACCAATAAGAAAAATATATACATAAAAAAAAAATCAAGGCCAAGCATACTATTTATCTCAATCTTCATTAAGAACCTATTTAAGATGTCTTCAATCTTACATTTCTTTTTTTTTTTTTTATCCTCACCCGAGGACATTTTTCCATTTTTTGTTCAGGTAGAGTGGGAGGGAGAGAGAGGAACAGATATATAGAGAGAAACATCGATGTGAAAGGAACACATCAAGTGGCTGCCACCCACACAACCGACCAGGGCCGGGGACAAACTGCAACCGAGGTACGCGCCCTTAGCGGGAACCGAACCCGGGTCTCTCAGGACCGCAGGCCGACGCTCTAACTGCTGAATCAAACCGGTCAGGGCATTTCTTTTTTTTTTTAATCCTCACCAGAGGATATTTTTCCACTGATTTGTTTTAGATAGAGTGGGAGAAAGGGAGGGAGAGAGAGAAAGAGAGACAAAGAAAGAAACATCGATGTGAGAGAGACACATCGACTGGATGCCTTCCACACAACCCTGACTGGGGCTGGGGATCAAACCCGAAACCAAGGCACATGCCCTTGACTGGGAATCAAACCTGAGACTCTATGGTCCACAGGCCAATGCACTAACTGCTGAGCCATACCAGCCAGGGTGCTTTTTTTTTTAATCCTCAGTCAAGGATATGTTTTTTAATTTATTTTAGAGAGAGGAAGGTGGGGGAGAGAGAGAGAGAGAGAGATATCAATCAGTTGCCTCCCATACAGCCTGACTATGTGCTCTAACCAGGACTTAAACATACCACCTTTTGGTGCACAGGACGACACTTCAACCAACTGAGTCACACCAGCCAGGGCTCAATTTCTAGTCTAATATCCTATTTATATTTCTCTTGCTTGTCAATTCAATTTTATTTTCAAGTACTAATGTCTTTTGCTTTTCTGTCTTCAAATGAGACTATTCTCCAAACTAAACTTTAGTTTTGTTTTGAAAACAATAGTGTTATGCAACAAGCTACAGCAACTAAAATGAAAAAACACAGACAACAGAAGAATATCCCAAAACATTAAACATACTTGGCTGCTTTTCCAAAAGCTCTTGAAACTTCTTCCTTTCGTATTCAACTGACTGCTGCATGAGATGCGGCCTAATGCTACTGACAGCAAAGTTCGCCATGTCCACTTTCATTAAGTCCAACACAGAAAAAATTGCCCTAAAAGAAAAGAGACAAGAGGATTTAGAAATGGACACTTATAAACATTTTAACAAAAAAGAGGTGATCTAAGACAGCGTTTTCATCTCAGAAAGAGTGGCAAGAAAAGTTAGAAAAATCATGAGAAAGTAGATTAAGGAAAACAAATTTAGAAAATACAAAAGCTTAAATACTAGTTTGAAAAGACTGCAAATTTTTAAGCTGCTTTCTGTCTCCACCCCTCCACCCCTTCCCCCAAGCAAACACAGCTCCCCCCCACTGCCTGTCTAGACCAGAATGCATTCTTTGGCTTTGGGTCAGCCGTCATGCAGCCACAGAGGAAGGAAGGAGCCCAAGACCTGAGGTTAAGGGTAGAGAGCTCACCACCCGGTAGCTACTCTCACATAGGTTAATTCACTTTCCTAGGAAAGAAAGAAAATTAACTCTCCTTTCCCCTCTCCTCTTACCCCAGAGGTCTCTCTTAGTTTCAGGGCATGCTTTACATTCTAGTTCTGGAGGCATAACTGCTGTTTCATTCTCCAAATGTACCCAATAAGCAAACTTGACATAGTCATCCCATTTTAAGAACCTATCTTTAGGAAATAACCTAAAATACAGATAAAGGTTTTGTGCACAAATATGTTCATTGCAAGGTTAAAAGTAAATAATTATACATAATCAAATTGTCCATTTTAACAAAAAAAAGTTAATTATATGCAAATGAATATTTTGCAGCCATTGAAAATGCTTACAGAGAATTTTTTTTTAAATCTTCACCCAAGGATATTTTTCCATTTATCTTCAGATAGAGGGGGAGGGGGAGAGAAAGAGAGACAGAGAAACATCAATGTGAGAGAGACACATCCATTGATTGCCTTCCGCACAACCCCAACCAGGGCCAGGGAATGAACCGCAACTGAGGTACATGCCCTTGACTGGAATCAAACCCATGACTCTTTGGTCCTCGGACTGACACTCAAACCACTGAGACAAAATGGCCAGGGCAAAACTGCTCAGTATCTTGAATGTGGTGGCAGATACACAAATTTACACAGGTGATAAAATCATATAAAATTAATACACACACAAATATACATACAAGTAAAACAGGAAAGCTAAGTGAGATCAGTAGATTGTATCAAAGTCAACATTCTGTTTGTGATACCCTACATTTTCCAAAATGTTACCATTGAGGGAAACTGGATAAAGTGTACTATGTTATTTCTCTCAACTCCATGTGAATATAATTATGTCAATGAAGCTTTCAATTAAAAAATAAGTACAATAATTAGGGTATAATGTTAACAGGAAAAGTCAGGCCTGTAATGCCCACCAGGAGGTCTCCTTAGGTTCAATTAAACATTCAGACTCACAAGACTACCATAAGCCACAGGTGTGGCATCATCTATTCACAGCTTACCAACAGGGCAGCACCAAGCTTCCCTTTTCTTTTCTTTTTTTTATCCTCACCGGAGGACATTTTTCCATTTTTTGTACAGACAGAGTGGGAGGGAGAGAGAGGAAGAGAGAGAGAGGGAAACATCGATGTGAAAGGGACACATCGAGTGGCTGCCACCCGCACGACCAACCAGGGCCGGGGACAAACTGCAACCGAGGTACATGCCCTTAGCGGGAACTGAACCCAGGTCTCTCCGGACCGCAGGCGGACGCTCTAACCACTGAGCAAAACCGGCCAGGGCCAAGCTTCCCTTTTCAAGAGTTACAGCTATTAGCCACAAGCATACAACTCAGACATGTGGAAGCCACCTGACTCAAAAGCCTCAGGTGCTAATATATTTTGTAACAACTCTACAGCATGGCTTTTAGGGTCTACATCAGAGGCACGTCCACTTATAAAAGATACTCTACAAACAGAAGTCCAAAGTATGGTGTCCCATCCAGCATTTATAGTTCATTATTATTCTTTTCAGTCCAGATGCAATTTACCAATCAGATGCCACTTTCCCCATGAACAATGTTGCCTAGTACCATTTTATTGTTTGTTTGTTTGTTTGTTTGTTTTTGGTACATGCCCCTAGCGGGAACCAAACCCGGGACTCTAGTCCACAGGCCGATGCTCCAACCACTGGGCCAAATCGGCCAGGGCGCCTAGTAGCATTTTGATGCATAAGACCTTTATCTGTTTACAGGAACACAGAGCTAATCAGTTAACCAAAAGTCAAATTCTCAGGCAGCATCATGTCAATTCTTTGCCCATATTGGCATAAAAATTAAATAAATTTAGCCCTGACCGGTTTGGTTCAGTGGTTAGAGCGTTGGCCTGCAGTCCAGAGAGACCCGGGTTTGGTTCCCACTAAGGGCAAGTACCTCGGTTATAGTTTGTCTCTGGCCCTGGTTGGGTCATGCAGGAGGCAGCCACTCGATGTGTCCCTTTCACGTCGATGTTTCTCTCTCTCTCTCTTTTTCTCTCTTCCTCTCTCTCCCTCCCACTCTATCTGAACAAAAAATGGGAAAATGTCCTCGGGAGAGGATTTAAAAAAAAAAAAAAAAAAAATATATATATATATATATATATATATATATATATATATATATAAATTTAATCATAGTTATATATATTTAAATATAAACATACAAAAGACCAAAGAAAGTTAATATAAACTATATGTTAGTTCACAGGATTATATTAAATTAAATTTATTGAATGTCTTCTTTGTATTTTGATTATGTAGGAGAATGTCCACATTCTTAGGAGATACTTGCCGAAATATTTAAGGGTAAAATATCACAGTATCTGCCATTACCCCTCACAAGGTTCAGGAGAAAAAAACATACACACATGCATACATACATACATGTATATAAAAAGAAAGCAAATTGGGAGCCCTAGCTGGGTGACTCAGTTGGCATGAGCATCATCCTGTATACCATAAAGGTTGTAGGTTTGATTCTTGATCAGGGCACATGCCTAGGTTTTGGGTTCAATCCCTGGTCAGGGTGGGTACAGGAGGCAACCGATCAATGTTTCTCTCTTACATAGATGTTTCTCTCTTCCCCCCATCCTCTCTCTCTAAAATCAATAAAAACATATCCTTGGGTGAGGATTAAAAAAATTAAAATACAAAGAAAGCAAATGGACAAAACATTTTGTGGATCTACATAAAAGATATATGAGTGTTAATTACACCGTTTTTGTGACTTTTGTGTAGGTTTGGAATTTTAAAAAAGAAAACATTAAGGTTAAAAAACTAAAAATACATATATCAACATAACTGTGCTAGTGTGGTGGTAAAATTGTGGATGAAATTTTTTCTTTCTACCTTTCTATATTTTATAAAATGTTTGCTTTTCAAATAAAAAAAAATGCATGCATATCTATACTTGAGGAAGTCTAAATCTGAAAATAGGCTCTATGTTTTAGGTGCACTTAAGGTGATTAACACAATTCCCATACCTGAAAAGGGGCACTATTTCCTTAATGTCCTTTAGTTTCTTAACTTCCTCATCTCGAGCAGGTGCACACAGTGTCCCCATCATGCCAATAATGAATTCCGCCAGCTTGGAAATGTCAAGGGCCCCATTCTCTGCCTCCTGTTTTATCAGATCCAGATCCAAGACTTCTGTAATCTGGTTTCTCAGTCTAGTGTGACCAGGCAGCAAGAAAGATAAGAGAGTCTGCAAAAGAGCACAGCCAGGCTTAATATAAATTTCTTGGTCAGACATCATTTTTTATTACATATAAAGGAATTAACATCTGCCCAAATGAGAACTTACCAACTGCTACTATAATGTTGCACATATTTTAACCCCTTATTCAACAAATCTACAGAAAAATATGTTTGCAAGTCATCTAGACTAGCTGTTTAAATTTCCATTTAAGCTCTAGGTAGCAATCAATTGGATACATCATGAATAAAAGTGAGAAAAGTAAAACATTAATTAACACGAGCCTGTGAACCAACCACAGATGCCAATTTCCAGGGATATATCTCTTCTTTGTTTCTTTATTGATTTTTTTTAAGAGAGAGAGGAAGGGAGAGGGAGAGAGAGATAAAAACATCAATGAGAGAGAACATCAATTGGCTGCCTCCTGCACGCCCCCCACTGGGGATTGGGCCCACAACCTGAGCATGTGCCCTGACTGGGAATCGAACCAGCGACCTCTTGGTGTATGGATCAATGCTCAACCACTGAGCCACACCAGCCAGGCAATATATCTCTTCTATGATACTAAAGGTATTGCAAAAGCAGACCTACCTTCCACTTACTGCCTTCTCTATCCCACAGGCTGAAATAGTTTTTGGCCCCTATTAAAATTGAACATGTCCATACCTATTAAAAATTTTATAAATCACCTATATTTCATAAAATAAATTGTTTTCTTTAAATAATTGTCTTTTAAAATATTAAATATTTCTCTGTCTATAAAGGAATGCCTTCAGGTTATCATAGCTTGTTTTAAATTTTAAAAAGGGCTTTAAGCCAAAAAACTCTTAATCCACATTTTGGCAAGTAATTTAACTTGATCCTTCGATTTCTTTAGTCTTCTGGCACAGTAACATGGAGAAGTTGAATATTCCTAACACATCAGAAAAGCAGCACAATTTGCTCTTCACCTTACCTCTTTGATCTCCCCGACAAGTTTAATGGCATGGTCATATGTTGGGGGGTCTTCACTTAGCTGGACACTCAAGCAATCCCAAAAAGCTTTATGTACAATCTCCTTTACTTTCTTCTCCAAACTGAAGGTAAATGAGGGGGGGGGGGGGGGAAACAAAGGCAAAAATAAATAAAATATTTGAGCCTCAAATCACTTTCTTTCTTTATTTTTTATCCTCACCCGAGGACATTTTTCCATTTTTTGTTCAGATAGAGTGGGAGGGAGAGAGAGGAAGAGAGAGAGAGAGAAACATCGATGCGAAATGGGCACATCCAGTGGCTGCCACGTGCACGACCCAACCAGGGCTAGGGACAAACCGCAACCGAGGTACGCGCTCCTACTGGAAATGAACCCGGATCTCTCTGGACCGCAGGCCAACGCTCTAACTGCTGAGCCAAACCAGCGAGGGCTATTTGTTTTTTTAAATTATTTTTCCTTTATTGATTTTAGAGAGAGAGGAAGTGCGAGGGAGAGATAGAAACATCGATGAGAGAGAACATCAATTGGCAGCCTCCTGCATGCCCCCTACTGGGGATTGGGCCCACAACCTGGGCATGTGTCCTGACCAGGAATCAAACCGGCAACCTCTTGGTTCATGGGTCAACGCTCAACCACTGAGCCACATCGGTGGGACTAGGGCTATTTTTTAAACAGCTTTTTTGAACTATGATTTACATACTGTAAAATTCACCCATTTTAAGCATACCATTCAAAGAACGTTAGTAAATTCATCAAGTTGTGCAACCATTACCACAATCCAACTTCAAAACATTTTCGTTACATCAGTAAGACTCCTCATGCCCAAGCTGTGGGCCAGGTTCCAAACATGTCATTCCCAGAGTATAAGCTGTCACGCTTGGCCACCTTGCCCCTACACTCAACCCAGCTGAATATGACATATCTCCAGAAACCTGGAAGGCACAAATTGAGTGGGTAGCCATAAGATCCTGGCCTAAAAGGGAGTACAATGACCCCAGCCACTAAGGGCCCATCAAAGATCTTACTTTAAAACTCACTGAGCCCTGGCCGGTTTGGCTCAGCGGTTAGAGCGTCGGCCTGCGGTCCTGAGAGACCCGGGTTCGGTTCCCGCTAAGGGCACATACCTCGGTTGCAGTTTGTCCCCGGCCCTGGTTGGGTCGTGTGGGTGGCAGCCACTCGACGTGTCCCTTTTACGTCGATGTTTCTCTCTCTCTCTCTCCCTCCCACACTCTATCTGAACAAAAAATAGAAAAAATGTCCTCGGGTGAAGATAAAAAAAACAACAACAAAAAAAACTCACTGAACCTACAAAAGATCAGCAAATGTCTATCCCAATTTCAGACCTACTCCCAAGACCTCAGTTCTTAGGAGGTATGATTGAATTGGGCCTCTATTCTTCTGGTATTACATTTTTAAAAACAATTTTTTTTCTTTTATTGATTTTAGAGAGAGAGAAAGGGAGAAGCAGAGAGAGATAGAAACATCGATGAGAGAGGACATTGATTGGCCACCTCCTGCATGCCCCCCACTGGGGATTGGGCCCACAACCTGGGCATGTGCCCTAACAGGGAATCAAACCGGTGACCTCTTGGTGCATGGGTCGACGCTCAGCCACTGAGCCACACTGGCAGGCTGGTATTACATTTTTAAAACTGATAGAGATAGGAAAGAAAAACTTATCCAAGAAGGAAAATTGGATCTAACATTTGACATCTCACCTTAAGTGTGGCAATGATGACTACATATATTATTGTTTATTGTTTAAATTTATTTTAGAGAGAGAAAAGGGAGAAAGAGAGAGAGAAAGAGATAGAAACATAGATGAGAGGGAACATTGACTGGCTGCCTCCTGCATGCCCCTACTGAGGTCAGGCCCACAACCTGAACATGTGCCCTGACCGGGAATCGAACTGGCAACCTCTTAGTGCATGGTTTGATGCTCAACCACTGAGCCACACCGGCCGGGCTATTGTTTATTGTTTAAATTAATCATTAATAAAAAACAAAGATCCCTTGTGCCCATTAGCAGTCACTGCCCAGTTCTACCCTCAACCCCAGGCAATCATTAATCTACTTTTTGTCTCTATAGATTTTCCTTTTCTGGATGTTTCATGTAAATGGGATTGTACAGTATGTAGACTATATATCTGGATTCTTTTACTAGGCAAAATGCTTTCAAACAACATCATCCATGTAACATGCATCAGTGCTTTGATCCTTTTTATTTTTAAATATGTTTTTATTGATTTTTTTGAGAGAGAGGAAGAAAGAGAGAGGTAGAGCCCTGGCCAGTTTGGCTCAGCAGTTAGAGCGTCAGCCCACGGACCAGAGAGACCAGGGTTTGGTTCCCGCTAACGGCACATACCTAGGCTGCAGTCTGTCCCCAGCCGTGGTTGGGGTTGTATGGGTGGCAGCCAGTCGATGTCTCTCTCTCACATCAATGTTTCTCTCTCTTCCTCCGTCTCTCCCTCCTGCTCTAGCTGAAGATAAAAGCAGAAATGTCCTCGGGTGAGGATTAAAAAAAAATTTTTTTTTAACTAATAAAAAATAAAAGAAAGAGAGAGATAGAAATATCGATGTGAGAAAGAAATATTGATCGGCTGCCTCCTGCATGCCCCCTGCCAGGGATTGAGCCCACAACCCAGGCATATGCCCTGAGTGGGAATTGAACCAGGACTTCTCAGTTCATAGGATGGCGCTCAATCCACTGAGCCACACCATCCAGACTGCTTTGATCCTTTTTATGATTGAAAAATATTCCATTACATGAACATGCCACATTGTATTTCTTTATTTGTGTGTTGATGGACATTTGGGTTATTTCTCATTTTGAGCTATTATAAAATCACTTTCAGAAACAAATTCACTCGGCCTGTGTGGTTCCGTGGTTTAGCGTCGACCCATGCACCAAGAGGTCACCGGTTCAATTCGGGGTCAGGGCACATGCCCGGATTGTGGGCCAAATCCCCAGTGGGGGGCATGCAGGAGGCAGCCAGTCGATGTTCTCTCTCATAGATGTTTCTATCTCTCTCTCTCTCCCTTCCTTGCTCTCTAAAATGAATAAAGAAAAAAAAATTTAAATAAGTAAATAAAATATTTTAAAAAAAAAACAAAAACCACAAATTCTATGAGTTTAAGGTAAGAAATTTTTTTCTAATTTGAATAAAGGAAAGATTTACCAAACATACTTAAACTAATCACATACCTTATTATTTTTAGTGATTTATTTCAATGAGTACTTTATTGGAAAGAAGAATTTTCAAATAATTTGACAGATGACATTAGTCCAATTAACAGTATATAACAATGCCATATGATAAAAAGAATACTGGAAAGTTTAGAGCTGTTGTTCGGCCCATGTGGCTCAGTGGTTGAGCACTGACCCATGCACCAAGAGGTTGCCGGTTTGATTCCTGGTCAGGACACATGTCCAGGTTGTGGGCCTGATCCCCAGTGGGGGGCATGCAGGAGGTGGCCAATCGATGTTCTCGCTCATCGATGTTTCTATCTCTCTCTCCCTCTTCCTCTCTCTCTAAAATCAATAAAGGAAAAAAAACTTTTAAAAATTTAGAGCTGTTCATTTTTAGTGTTCCAATACAATCAAGTTTCCTAAGATATTTATGATTAAATAGTTTAATATAACAATTAAACATGTATATAGGTTGAATTTTATTTCCTAAAAAATATCCTACTCCCATGTGACATATGAGACAACCACTTAGATGAGGTACCAAACTATATCATCTTATATATAACACCTCATTAAAACTAGCAATTACACCACGAAAGCAAAATAAGTAATTCTTCATTATTAATGTGAAAAAGTACTATTTTTACAGAACACATAAGAAATGTCTATTGTAGGAGACACTAGAGCTTGCCAACCCAGTGCCATTCATTCCCCATCCTTTTCTCCATGGCACTTTCACAATTATAATAGGCAATGATTTTTCTTTCTTATGACAATACATTTTAAAAGGCTCACCTCGCAATCAATAGAGTATTAGATTCAATACGCTATCTGCTAGGTGCTAGGAATACAGAGAGTAATGCATAATCCTTGTCTATGTAGAGTTTACAACCTGGTAAGGAATCATAAGTAAACCAACAACCACAGTACAATAAGATAGTTACGAGATGAATGAAACAACGCAGTGAAAACACAATATGAGGCTAAATCCTATGGAGAAGGGAGAAGCTACAGTGAAAGATTCCCACAGGAGATTTCCAGATCTTTTGTTTACATTTTAAAGGATCAATCTACTTTCAAACTCCAGTAATTCTTGGTATGGGAATAATTTTTAGCAACAACATGCAAAAGGAGAGGTGTATTTGAATATAATGACACTGAGTGAAGAAAACATTTCCCAAACTGAGGAATGACAGTATTCTACTAAACAAGTAACTCAGTAACCACCTTACCTGTCTTCCGGCAATTCGACAGGTTTAATCTGGAAGTCTCCATTCACTACAATTTCATGAGCTAGAACCATGTTAGTGACTCCTTTTGCTGCCTCTAGAAGCTCTTCTACTGTCACAAAACGAGGAGGACTGGCTGTAAGAAAAACCCAGCATAAGACATTTGCTTCTCTAGATTAGAATTTCTATTAAAGTAAGGAGAAGGAAGTGGTTTTGGTATCAACTAACAATATTGGTTATGCCTCTATGAAAATATTATGGCAATTTCAAACAATAAACCTGTATTATTTTTTCTTTTAATTAGAGTCCTAAAAGCAGAACTCATTTACAATACTCAAAACACGTGGGTTTTGTTTTTCTTTTTTAACTAAGACTAGTCAATGGAAAATGACTACAGTAAACTGAGACTTAGAAAAACTTTTACAGACCATCAATTTCTCAATAAGCTGAGGGTTTATTTTCCAATCCCGTTGCCTCCTATCCCTCCTAAATGACAAACAGGAGATGCCTGATACTATGCCATGAATCTCCCCAAATTAAAACAACAGCGAGTACTTTAGGTGCCAGGCACTATTTAAACAACGCTAAAACCACTACCCTGGACAGATACCAAGAGACAATGTGAGTTTTAAAGCTGACCAATGGCCTGGCCGGTGTGGCTCAGTGATTGAGTGTTGATCCATGCACCAGGAGGTCATCAGTTTGATTCCCAGTCAGGGCACATGCCCAGGTTGTGGGCCCGATCCCCAGTGAGGGGCATGCAGGAGGCAGCCAATCGATGTTCTCTCTCATCAATGTTTCTTTCTCTCTCTCCCTCTCCTTTTCTCTGTGTCTCTAAAATCAATAAAGAAAATAATTTTAAATAAATAAATAAATAAATAAATAAATAAATAAAGCCGACCAATGAAGAAATCAGAGTGTGTGTGACTCAAGAATTTTGTAGAATGGAGGCTCACTGTATCAAAACTTTGAGTCATCTCAGATTTTTCCCTTTCCACTCCCCTGTTATCCAAGTCTTGTAGATTTTACTGTGCATCAACTGCTGCTATAACCACATAACTGGTCTCCACACCTCTCTCTCCTTTGATAAAGCTTGAGATTTCTCTTCCAGAAAGACAATTCTCATACCAATCTCCCCAGGTGTTCTAAGCCAAGGAACACTGGGTAATTCCTATTGTTTTTTTCTTTCTTAAATTCTTACCCAAGGATATGTTTCCATTTATCTTCAGATAGAGTGGAAGGGAGGGAGAGAGAGACAGAGAGAGAAACATCAACGTGAGAGAGACACATAGATTGATTGCCTCCCAAATGACCTCAACCAGGGACAGGACTGAACCACAACCAAGGTATACACTCTTGACCAGGAATCACACCCGGGACCCTAGGTCCGCAGGCTGATGCTCTAACCATTGAGCAAAACCATCCAGGGATCTTTTTTTTTTTAAGTCTATGATAGAGATATGCATATTTGGTATACCAATAAAGCTGTTTTTAAAGTCTATGAGCCCTGGCTGCTTTGGCACAGCAGTTAGATTGTAGGCCCACGTACTGAAGGATGGTAGGTTTGATTCGCAGACAAGGGCATGTACCTAGGTTGCAGGTTCGATCTTTGGCCCCAGTCAGGGTTGTACAGGAGGCAACCAATCCATATGTCTCTCTCACATTGATGTTTCTCACTCTCACTTCCTCTTTCTCTAAAAATCAATAAAAACATTTTTAAAAAATAAAATAAAGTCCACTATAGCAGTTCTTTAGCCTGTAATGGGGGTGAGGGAAGGTGCTTATGAAAATAGATTTTTGGGCCCTCCTCTCAGAGTTTCTGATGTAGTAGGTCTTGGGTGGGGTCAGAGAATCTGCATTTCTCACAAGTCTCCAGCTGATACGGACAGTCACAGAAATCATACTTTGAAAAGCACTGGCCTAGAAGATAACAATATTAATTTTATGTCATATGATAGGACCTGGACTTAAAATGAGATAAATAATGTCACTGATAACTTGGCTGGTTTGCTCAGTGGTTAGAGCATCGGCCCGCAGACCACAGAGTCTCAGGTTCGATTCTGGTCAAGGGCATGTACCTTGGTTGTGGTTCATCCTGGGCCTGGTTGGGGTTGTCCAGGACACAACCAATGGATGTGTCTCTCTCACACTGATGCTTCTTCCCCCCCCCCCCCGCCCCGTCCCTCCCACTCTATCTGAAGATAAATGAAAAAATATCCTCAGGTAAGGATTAAAAAAATAAATAAAATCATAATAATCATAATAATCATAATGTCACTGGTTTGCACAGGGTTACAAAGACCTTAAGTTAGTGAAAAGTAATTTCCCTTCCTCTTTTATGTTCTTCTTTGCTCATTCAAAAAGGGAACTAAATGCCCTGGCCAGTATGGTTCAGTGGTTAGAGTGTCGGCCCGCAAACCAATGAGTCACGGGTCCAATTCTGGTAAAGGGTGCATACCTCGGTTGTGGTTCATCCCCGGCCCTGGTTAGGGTCCTGCACGAGGCAACCAGTCAATATGTCCCTCTCTCTTCCTCTCTCCCCGTCCCATTCTATCCAAAGATAAACAGAAAAACATCCTCGGATGAGGATTTAAAAAAAGGAACTAAATCTAAGAACTGGTTATATCCTATCAGGTCAGATAAGGGGAAGCTGGAAAAATGTATCAAAATTCTAAGCATTTCCAGAAAATATCAACAAAATAAATAAAAATTTGCTTTATAAATATTGAAAAAAATATAATAAATATCCAAAATCAAAGCCCAGATAGAAATGCTCAATATTATTATTATTATTTTTTTCTTTTTTTTTATCCTCACCCAAGGACATTTTTCCATTCTTTTGTTCAGATAGAGTGGGAGGGAGAGAGAGGAAGAGAGAGAGAGAGAGAAACATCAATGTGAAAGGGACACATTGAGTGGCTGCCACCCGCACGACCAACCAGGGCCGGGGACAAACTGCAGCCGAGGTATCTGCCCTTAGCAGGAACCGAACCCGGGTCTCTCTGGACTGCAGGTCGACTCTCTAACCGCTGAGCCAAACCGGCCAGGGCAATGCTCAATATTATTAAAATGTCAATTCCTGCCAAATTGATCTACTGATAAAATTCAATCCCAGTCAAAATCCCAGCAAGGCTTTTTTTTAAATTGCATCATCCCATACACTAAAAAGTTGCAGGTTTGATTCCCAGACAGGGCACACACCCAGGTTGCAGGTTTGATCCCCAGTCAGGGTGCATGCAGGAGGCAACCAATCGATGTTTCACTCTCACATTGATGTTTCTCTCTCTTTCTCTCCCCTCCTTCCTTCCTCTTTCTCTGAAATCAAATTTTGTTTTTTTGGTACGTGCCCCTAGCGGGAACCGAACCCGGGACTCTCTGGTCCGCAGGCCAATGCTCCAACTGCTGAGCCAAACTGGCCAGGGCTCAAATCAATTGTTTTTTTTAAAAAAAGCAACAACAACCCTGGGCAGCTTTGCTCAGTGGTTAGAGCGTCAGCCATCGGACTGAAGGGTCATAGTTTTATTCCTGGTCAAGGGCATGTACCTGAGCTGCAGGTTGGATCCCTGGCCTGGTCAGGGTTGTGTGGGAGGCAACCAATCACTGTGTCAATGTTTCTCTCTCTTTCTCCCTCCCTCCTTTCCACTCTATCTAAAACTCAATGGAAAAATATCCTCAGGTGAGGATTAACAGAAAGAACCAAAAAACAAACAACAATAACAAATGACTCTCAACCCTTATCTCACATGATAAATAAAAACTAACTCAGAATGGACCACAGACTTAAATATAAACTATAAAACTTCTAGAAAAAAACATAGGAAAAAGTCCTTAGATAGGATACAAAAAGCTCAAAATATCTGAGGAAAAAAACTGACTAATTGAACTTCATCAAAATTCAAAACTTGCCCTGGCATGGTAGCTCAGTTGGTTAGAAGTATCATCCTGATAAGCCGAGGTTGTGGGTTTGATCCCTGATCAGGGCACATACAAGAATAAACCAATTAATGCATAAATACATGAAACTATAAATCAATGTTTCTCTCTTTCTCTCTCTTTAAAATCAATAAAAAAAATTTTAAATTCAAAATTTTGTTCTATTAAGAAAATTAAAAAGCATGCCACAGAAAGGAGAAAATATTTGCAAAAAATCTATCTGCTAAAGGACTTATATCCAGAATATAAAAAGAATTCTTACAACTTAGTATTAAAAGACAATCAAGAAATGGACAAAAGATTTGAACAAACATTTCTCCAGAATATATATACAAATTACCACTAGGTGCATGAAAAGATGCTCAACATCATTAGTCATCAGTGTGAGATAATAGAAAATATATATGTGGGTCCCTGCCCCCAGTTCCTGGCACAAAACTCCTAAAGCCCTTGTAAATCCCTAAGTGATAAGAGCACTAGGCACACCTTTTGTTCTATTGAAGTAACTCTGAGTGGGCTCCAGGATGGGGGCTGGTCATCTGAAAGACCAAGACGACATAAACTTGGAATTTCAGCCCCATCTCTCATCCTTCAGAAATGGAGTTAATAATTGATCATAGCCTCTATAAAATGCCACAGTATGGGGTTCAGAGAGCTTCCAGGATGACCAACACATCCATACTGGGAGGGTGATACACCTTAACTCCATGGGGACAGAAGCTCCTGAGCTTAGGATCCTGCAAGCCCTCACTCTATGTAACCCTTCATTGTGTTGTTCATCTGCATCCTTCATCATATCCTTTAATAAACTAGTAAACATAAGTATTTTCCTGAGTTCTGTGAGATGCTTAAGCAAATTAATAGAATCCATGGAGGGATTGCTGGAACCCCTAATCTACAGCTGGTTGGTCAGAAGCACAGATTTTAACCTGGGCTTGCAACTGAGATCTAAAGGGGTGGGAGAAGTCTTTTGGTTCTGAGGCCTTAACATGCAAGATCTGATGCTATCTCCAGGTAAACAGTGTCAGAATTTAGTTGCACTGTGGGACACCCAACAGGTATCACAGAGAATTGGTTGGCTGTGGAATAAAAACCACATATTTGATGACCAGAACTTAAGTGTTCTGTGTGAGTAGTAATGGAGACACACAGAAGAAAAACACAGGAAGAGGGACTGGGTTTTCCTCCACACAGGTTAAAAACTATAGTTTTTTCTTTTATAATCAGGGAAATGCAAGTTAAAACCACACTGAGATACCACTACACACCTACTAGAACGGCCAGAATTAAAGAGCTTGATTACACCAAGATCTGGCACAGATGTGGAGCACCTGGAACTCTCACATATAAGTGGTGGAATTGCAAATGGTACAGATACTTTGGAAAACAGTCTCTTGATTTCTTATAAACCATACACATACCACATGATACAGCAACCCCACTCTTATGTCTTTACTCAAAACGAAACACATATAGTCATGTAAAGATTTGTACTCAATTGTAAACAGTACTTTTATTTATAACGATCAAAATCTAGAACTATCCAAATGTGTATCAACTGAAGAATGGGTAAACAAATTGTAGCATAACCACACAGTGGATTACTACTCAGCAATATAAAATGAACAAACTACTGATACCTTCAAAAACATGGTTGAATCTTAAAAACATTACCCCAAGTGAAAGAGTCAAATAGAAAAGACTATGTATAGTGTGGTTCCATTTATATGAAATTATAAAATGGGCAAAATTAACATTGGCTGGTGAGGCTCACTTGGTTGGAGCATTGTTCTGCACACCAAGAGGTGGCACATACCTGGGTTGCAGGTTTGGTCCATGGTCGGGGCATGTATGGGAGGCAAATAATCAATGTTTCTCTCCCTCTCCCTCTCCCTCTCTCTCTCTAAAATCAATTTTGAAAAACACATCCTCAGGTGAAGAAGAAAAAAATTTTGGCAAAATAAAAAAGGCAAAATTACAGTGACAGAAAGCAGATCAAGAGTTGCCCAGGGATGGTGGAGGAGGAGGAAGGTGCATGCCAAGGGGCATAGAAAATTTTGGGAGGGGATAGAAATATTCTAGCAGCTCACGATTGTGGTGGAAGTGACACAACTGTAAATGTACTGGTCAAGTCATCAATCTACACACTTAAAATTGGTGAATTTTATTATATATAAATTATACCTCAATAAAGTTAATTAAAAATTTGAAGGTACTCAGTAGGGATTTACTAAATAAATATTAAATTATTAAATAAATTATTAAATTTATTCAAGCTAATATTTTCTGTTACCTTTTATTAGAAAACGGAACTTCCACTGTGGTATATTAATATCAAGCATTAGCAGTTACTGAACTCTGAGTTCTTTTTTTTTAAATCCTCACCTGAGGATATTTTTCCATTTATCTTCAGACAGAGTGGGAGGGAGGAAATGAGAGAAAGAGAGAGAGAGAAACATCAATGTGAGCAAGACACATTGACTGGTTGCATCCCGCATGACCCCAACCAGGGCCAGGGACCGAACCACAACCAAGGTATGTTCCCTTGATCAGAAGCAAACCCGTGACTCTTTGGTCAGAGGGCCAACACTCTAACCACTGAGCCAAACTGACCAGGGCTAAACTCTGAGTTCTTAATCTCTTAAAAAGAAATTCAGAGACTGTCACCAGGGCTTTTAACTTTTGTTTTAACCTTGGTTTTGCAAAAATCTCCAAATGTCTGATCATCTTAAATTTATAAAAATAACAGAAACACATCAGTAATAAAACGGGGTCCAGCCTGGCTGCTGTGGCGCAGTGGTTAAGCGTCAACCCATACACCAAGAGGTCACTGGTTTGATTCCTGATCAGGGCACATGCCCAGGGTGTGGGCCAAATCCTCAGTGGGAGGCATGCAGAAGGCGGTCAACAGATGTTTTCTCTCATCAGTGTTTCTCTCTCTCTCCCAAATCAATAAAGAAAAAAAACAAAAAAACAACAACAGGGTCCACCAATCCTTGCTATAATAATACAATGTTAACTTTCCTCTTGGCAACTGACACGCCATCTATCCTGGGAAGACCAAAGTAATGCTGGTGGCATGCATCAGCACAGAATCAACTCCAACAAGTACCACCCAGGTTACTTTGGCAGCATTACCACTTAAAGAGAAACCAGAGCTTCTGCCCAATTGTCAACCTTGATAAACTGTGGACCTTGGTCAGTGAGCAGACACAGGTAAATGCTGCCAAAAACAAGGCTGGAGCTGCTCTTATCATTCATGTAGTGTGATCAGGCTACTACAAAGTTCTGGGGGAAGGGAAAGCTCCCATAGCAGCCTGTCATCTAAGGATGGTGGGAGGGCTTGTATCCAGGTAGCTTGAAGCCACATGGATAAAATTTCATTAAATGCACCCTGGCTGGTTTGGCTCAGCGGTTAGAGTGTTCACCTGCGGTCCAGAGAGACCCGGATTCGTTCCCGCTAAGAGCATCTCAGTTACAGTTTGTCCCTGGCCCTAGTTGGGTCGTGCGGGAGGCAGCCACTCGATGTGTCCCTTTCACGTCGTCGATGTTTCTCTCTCTCTCTCTCTCTCTCTCTTCCTCTCTCTCCCTCCCACTCTATCTGAACAAAATATGAAAAAATGTCCCCTCGGGTAAGGATAGGAAAAAAAAAAAGTTCATTAAATGCGCTTTTTTTTTTTTTATCCTCACCCGAGGACATTTTTCCATTTTTTGTTCAGGTAGAGTGGGGTGGGGAGAGAGAGGAACAGAGAGAGAGAGAAACATCGATGTGAAAGGGACACATCGAGTGGCTGCCACCCGCACAACCGACCAGGGCCGGGGACAAACTGCAACCGAGGTACATGCCCTTAGCGGGAACCGAACCCGGGTCTCTCAGGACCGCAGGCCGACGCTCTAACCGCTGAGCCAAACCGGCCAGGGCCATTAAATGCTCTTTAGGGCTTTTCAAAAAAAAAAACTCTGTTGACTAATCAATTACCTGGAAAAACTGATAGTTTTAAAAGATGTACTCCTCAAACACAAAACTGTTCTTCCAAATATGAGGAATTACTGCTCATCTACACTTCAAAGAGATAATATCAGCACTGACATTCTTAGACTATGATCTCTCCTCTTAAAATTTTCATTTTTGGACTCATTTCAAAAACACTTAAGTATTCTTAATAAAAGACATGAGTCTGGGCAACTGCTGGGAATTTGTGCAGAAATTGCTACCTTTTCACCTAGGTGGCTGGCTCTCTGCCAGGGATCTGAAGTGACTTTACCACACATATTCAGCAATCTGAATCCCATCAACCTGTGGGAACTCAGCCCCCAGGCGATGAACCTAGGGTGTGGCAAAGGCACTCCCATTCAAAACCCCCTTTTTTAACTAACTGCACAAGCACAGTCCTGGCTGGAACCTGCCTCAGACTTTCAAAGACTCTTTTATTTAAAGCTGCAATATGCACTCCACCCTCCTACTTTTCAGAGCACTTCAGAGAAATTGGAATATCACCAAGGCTGCAAGAAGACAGGAACATTCTGGACATTATTCTAAAATTTTAATTTCTCATGAAATTGAAAACCCACAAGTGACTAGGCTGTCAGCTGAGAAACTGCTGCTATTCTTTGTTTTTTTAGAGAGAGAAAGAAAGAGAAAGGGAGAGATAGAAACATGGACCGGCTGTCTGCTACACATCCCCTACTGGGGATCAAGCCTGCAACTCAGGCATGTGCCCTGAATAGGAACCAAACTGAGGACTGCTCGATCCATGGGACAACACTCAATCCACTGAGCAACACCAGATGGGCAAACTGTTGCTATTCTTAAATGCTAATTATTGACAATGTTATATCATTAGAACCTACCTCAGGGCCACATGTACAAGGAAGCCTAATAAAAATATCATCTGAAAATAATACTAATATTGCTTCTAACCAAAGTCAAATTTGCTTACAATGAGGTCTTTGCACTCTTTGGGTGCTAGGAGAGCCCATCTTTACTTTTTTCTGTAAAGCTTCATCAGAACCTTCCACAGCATCTTCAAGGCCTTGTTCAGAATCATTTGATTTTGATTTTCCTGCTTCATTTGTATTGGACTTGTCAAGGTTTTCAGACATTCTCAATTAAGTTTATGCACTTTCCTAAAAAAGAAAAAAAAAGAAAAAGAAATGAACCAAGGAAAGAAAAGAAAAAGAACCAAAATGTTCTAGCTCTGTCAGTAACTAGAAGTGTGACTTGAGGCAAATCATTTAATCCCTTTGGATTTCAGCTTTCTCATCTGTAAAATAAATAAACTTGGTAAGATCTCATCCAGCTATAATATTCTACTTCCATGATTAAACAGATACCTGTAAAATGACACTTATTATTTATCAAATTTATGGACCTGTATCAAGAGTAACCGGTTTGAATATTTTTGTCCCACTCCTGAGTACCATGTCATGAGAACACAGGGCTTTAAATTGTTAGAAGATAACACTATAAATTGTCTCTTCCATTTTAATTCAGAGAGTGATTCAATTCTTCACTTTCATTCCTGAGTGTTGGTAGGAAAACTTTGGAAATAATGCTTTTAATCAGGCTTCCATGTGAACACACTGCACTGAGGAGTTGGTTCCCTGATCACATTATGTGAATAAGATACCTGGAATGACAGATAGAAGGTAGAATCTTATGACAAATTTAAGAAGAATGTGTGGGGCAAATACTTTTATTAACTCCTTGCCAGTCAGCAGAACAAGATGATGAGTAAAGCAGGAAGTTGCAAATAACCATGATATATGTGGTTGGGTGCGGTTTTAATTTTTAGTTGCTGATTAGAATAGAAATAACATGTCGGTCTAAGCCAGTTAATAAAGGCTGGAATAGTAACCTCTTATTTACTGTATAAGTCTTTGTCGAGTTCTTTTCCCCCTCTAGTTTTAGAGTTCTCTATTCCTAAGGTGTTTCCAATTAAGGAAGAAAAAAGATGTGATGTTCCTGCATTTACATTACTGAAAATAATTAGTATTTGTATTATTAGCAATTGAAGATCACAAAACATTTTCATAAACACTAATTAGACTTTATTAGACACCTGGAAGATAATCCAGAGATCAAAAGAAATGTCGGCTGCTTTCGGGAAGTTTGGCAGACTCTTTTCTGCACATTTGAAAAGAATCATTTGATATAACTATCTGAAATTTTAGATACCTCCGTTAAATAGAATGAAGTTGTCAGAATTTACATTTTCAGGCCGGTATTACTAATATGAAGATTGCTTTATTTTATTTTATTAAAAAAAATTTTTTTTTCTTTATTGATTTTAGAGAAAGAGGAAGGGAGAGGGGGAGAGAGAGAGAAACACCAATGAGAGAGAACATAGATTGGCTGCCTCCTGCATGCCTCCTACTGGGCATGTGCCCCTATTGGGAATCGAACCGGTGACCTCTTGGTGCATGGGTCGATGCTCAACCACTGAGCCACATCAGCTGGGCTATTTTATTTTTAAAATTTTTTTCTTGAAAGGCAGACTGCCACGTGCAGCAACTCATTTGGATGTGTCTGGAGGCTTCACAGTATGACTACCCTATATTCTCCTATAAATGGACCTTGAGAGCTTGTTTGGAGGTTCTAGCAGGGAAACGCAGCTATTCCTATACCCTTAACCCAAGAACAGTCCTCTCTTCTAGCAGGGAAGGTTTTCTTCTTAGACCAAGTACCACGCAGCTTGGAGAGAAACGCACAGGTAGCAGTGAGGGAGGGAGGAAGGGAACACCCACCTGGCCAGCCAGATCAGCTGAATCAACCCTGGCGATCAATAGGGTGCCCAATTGTCCTCACATTCTGAAGATTGCTTTAAAGCAGTTACCCTTTACCTTCTAACATCTCACTCCAGAACCCATCTCCTTTCTGTCCTAAATCCTACTTGGCTCTGGAAATGCTCCAAGATCCAAAAGACAACATTACCAGCATATCCTATGTGAAAGGACAAAAAAAAAAAAAAAAAAAAAAGCCACTTCTAATTTTATCCTCTTCACATGCTGGGAATGAGCTCAGAAAAGATGAAGTAATTCATTCTATACAGTGAGGAGGAAAGGCAGGATTTCCAGGTCTCTAATACTCAACTAAGTAAACTAGCCCATCCTTTTAAGATTCAGCTCAAGTCCAAACTCCTCCCCAGGACACTTCACCAACCTCACCAGTAATTGCACCTTTCTCTGAACTCCTGTAGGGCTGATTACTAAACATCTGGCAGTCATCATTGCCTTAAATCCAATTCAAAAGATGCTTATTTAAATAGTAATAAAGAGATGAAAAGGCATGGTCAGAGACATACATTCTTAAAAGGAAACACAATGAAACTTATGCCTTAAAGGCTTTATTAAATCACTAAGAAAGTGATTTAATAAAGCAGAGGGAGAAACTAATTCCGCCTAGAAGGAGGTTGGAATAACCTTCCCAGAAAAGAGGTCATTGGATATGGTCTTTCTGAAAAGAGTACAGTTTCTTTTTTTTTTTTATCCTCACCCGAGGACATTTTTTGTTCAGGTAGTGTGGGAGGAAGAGAGAGAGAGAGAGAGACATCGATGTGAAAGGGACACATCGAGTGGCTGCCACCCGCACGACCAACCAGGGCCGGGGACAAACTGCAACCAAGGTACATGCCCTTAGCGGGAACCGAACCCGGGTCTCTCGGGACCACAGGCTGATGCTCTAACCGCTGAGCCAAACCGGCCAGGGCAAGAGTACAGTTTCATACAATTAAAAAAACAAATATGTGGAGAGGATGAAAGGGGGGGGGGGTTCACTCAAAAAAACAAAGTGGAGGCACAGGAAAATGATTGGTACAAAGGCAGGTGATGAAGGTGAAAAGATGAGTTGGGGCCAGATTGTAAAATTGCTAGTTTTTATTTTTTTTAAAAGTCTACCTAGATTTTTAAGTTCTTAAGAGCCAGGACCAACCATATCTCCCACATATGCGCATACATATAAGTATATCCCCCAAACAGACGCCCACTAAGTATCCGTTGATAGCTGTGTCATCTCTGTGATGTCAGTGTGTATGGGAGGGATGGGCGTTGTCTCTGACATACATGGGTCCCAATTCTGACACTTTACTAGCTGTGTTTCCTTCAGTTTCCTCATCTGTAAAATGTAGCTAACCTATATCTCTTGGGTTTGGGGGAAGTTTCAACGACAGAACGTGCATAACAACAGATGGCATGCAACCGGCTTCCCATGAACGGTTATTATAGTTACGGAGCTATAGGATGCATTTAGTTACTTACAGTGTGCTCATTCATTCATTCAACAATCACCAACTCCTGCTATGCCTAAACGGGGAACCGGGTGTAGGAGGATCCTCGCACTTGCGGTGAAGGTGAAGAGCGTCTACCTGAGCTTCACGCCGAGCCCAAGCTGGACACAAGAGACTCCCCAGCAGAAAGGGTCTTTCAGCAAAATAAAGGGGTTCTGTCCCCCGACGCCGGGAACCACTTCCTCTGGCACCCGGCGCCACTCACTCCCTGCGTCCAGATTGCGTTGATGTAAACAACTGTTTGGGTCGGCGAGGGTGTGGCCTAGCCCGGACCAAGCGATGGAAGCGGGACGCGGGATGCGAGGTGGGGACGGCCTCGAGGGGAGGGACAAAGGCCGCGCTAAACCCGCCCGCTGCCCCTGACTCCTCCTCTTCTCGACCAGACATCACCTGGGCCCGACCCGGCGGGAGAAGGCGAAGAATGGCCTGATTTCGACCTCAAGCTTCCAGCCTCCGCGCTCGCTTCCCTCACCTGCCGCGGAGTCGGCGTTCTCCCTGCTGTCGCTGGGGCGGCGAATCGAGCTGGGCCGGCGCCGCGCCGGAGGCGGGGAGCGATGCGCGGCGGGCAGGGAGGTTCAGTCTCTGCCCCTCAGAGGCCGCATCCCACGCCGCGCTGCGGGCTGTCCTCCCCGCCGGGCTCGGATGGGTAGCGGCCAGTGCAGTCGCTCTTCAGCGTCGGGAAGGGGGAGGCCCCTCTTAAACCAAGAGGCGTATGCCCCATGTAGGACGGCGCCATGTTTCTGTACGGAAAGGCGGGAGGCGTGGCTCCGAGCCAGATAGCGCCACGTTTCTGTACGGATGGTGGGGGCGTGGCTCCGAGCCAGATAGCGCCATGTTTCTGTACGGATGGAGGGGGCGTGGCTCCGAGTCAGATAGCGCCATGTTTCTGTACGGATGAAGGGGGCGTGGCTCCGAGCCAGATAGCGCCAAGTTTCTGTACGGATGGTGGGGGCGTGGCTCCGAGCCAGATAGCGCCATGTTTCTGTACGGATGGAGGGGGCGTGGCTCCGAGCCAGATAGCGCCATATTTCTGTACGGATGGAGGGGGCGTGGCTCCGAGTAGGGCGGTACCACGTTTCCCAAGGGAAGGGCAGGGCCCGGCGAGGGTTCGCCACCGGGGTGCGACGGCAGGAGCTGGCGGCAGGGAGGACCGCGAAGTAGAGGCGGTGCGGCGGCAGGCAAGTGAAGGAGAAGGTCAGGTTGCTGAGCCGCAACCGCATTCAAAGCCTTCCCCGCCAAGGTTTTCAAATGTAAATATTACTTCATGTGGTGTATGTAGTTGCACGTAGTTTTCCCCTCGTAGTTTACCTGTTAAAAAAGTCTTGCCCACCCCCTGGATCGCCAGGCCTCCCTTGACTGGCACAGGCTGGGTTTGGTTTGGGGGTCATCTCTTAGACGTAAGTGGCCGCTACACTTTGTCGATAGAAGAGCGAGACTTGAGCCCTAAAAAAGACGAAAAGCAAGGAGGCAACGGTTCCCACGAGGGTTCAGCTCAACCCTGGGAGCGTAAGGTGAGTTCTAGAAAGGGACGCCGTCATGTTAGCACGGGCCGTGACTATCCATCCGGGCTGTCCCGAGGAAACCAGGCCTTCCTCAGCCTGTAGCAGTAAGATAGCGAACACGAACAGAAACAGTTTCTGTGTCTAATCTTAACAAGTAAAAGGTACGTGACTCTTCACTGTTCACTTGTAAACATGCGTTAAGACTGAGCATAAATCATGTATGACTGAGCATAAATCATGTATGCCTTAAACAAAGTGAAGGTAATAACTGTCTTCTACGGTAGCTTATAAACTTGTTATATTTAAATAACTAGAACAAAACAAGACGGAGTGGAATTGGTCTTTCAAACACTACTTCTAAATAGATCACATGTGGGCAGGTATCCCTAAACTGGTGAGGGCTGAGAGTGCACTACTACCCCCTCAAGCCATTCATTAACTAGCACAGTTTTTTTCCTAAACACACACACACACATACACACACTTTAGGAGGAAAAAAACCCTAAAGATATTTAACTAAGTGGAACTAAGACTCACAAAGAAAACATTCAGTTCTCACTTCTGAGTCCAGACGGATGTACCCTGACTATACCTTAGAATTTTCTGGGGGCAGTTTAAAACTACCATCTGCAACTCTGGGGGAAGATGCCAGGCAAGGATCTTCACGCTTCCCAGGTGATTCTAAGATGCAGCCAGACTAGAATCACCTCCGTAGCAAGATCTACCCCCTACCTCCAGGCCCCTAGTGAGAGTGACCTACCTTCCTTGGATTAAACCACTTTCCTATGTGGAGAGGACACTGACTACCAAAACCACTGATTTGACTTGGAATGCCTTGTAACCTTTTGATATATTTTGAATTGTTTCCTTTTAAGTATTAAAAACTTACTGACACACATTTCCGTTTTGGCTACAAGGACTGGAAACTCAAATTATCTCAAGGTAAAGGGAGTTCACTGCAAGGCTAAATAGTGTTTGGGAGGAGAAAGCTGGCAACTGCTCCAGAGATTTACTACTCTGTCATTTCCAGTCACACAAGAGCTCTCATCACATCCCTGCTTCTTGCTGCTGTCTACTTCACTCTCCTCTCTACACTACAGACTGGTTTCTCTCTTTTCTTTGTTGTTGTTCTCCCATAGTTTAGATTTTTCCATACAGAATTTGGTTGGTCAAGTTGATTTTTGTACACAGTCAGTCTCATTCACCACCAGGGGTGGGGAACGTTCGGCCCGTGGGCTGTATAAGGCCCATGAAATCAATACCAGCTAATATCATATGCCTCTACAAATTAGCCCGACCAAATATAGCAGGCTAATTTTTAAGTTGATAATTTTGTATGGCCCACAAATGATGTTATAAATATCCCAATGGCCCTTGGCTGGAAAAAGGTTCCCCTCCCCTGGCAGGTAGGCTGTCCTAGGATCAGTGCTTAGCCCTGTCTCCACTACATTGGTGGTGAGGCTCACAGACACCTATGAATCAGGTATATAAGTGGGGATGGGTCCCCAAGAGGGCATCATGGATGAGTGAATGATGACACACAGCAAACAACAGTTGACGTTCTGGTGATCCAGGAGGATTGCCCAAGGCACTCAGGGTAGCACTGACAATGCTTGCAGTAAACATGATCTATTTTTTCGAAAACTTGATCCTCTTCTTGTTTATGAAGCTTGAGGTAAACTGTGGTTTTACTATATTTTCCATGGAATTATCATTAGAATACTGTTTCTTCTAGGACCATGACTATAACTAGGCATTTAGTTCTTCATTGCCCTGAAGGAGAGGTGTTAGTTTTGACTGGCAAATAACCATGCTATTTGATTATGTGCAAAATAAAGGTTGCAGATCAGATAGTACACACACAGTTGCTCTGCCAACTATAGTCTCACCCCTTTCAGTAGTTTATGAATGCTTCCTCACACTTAAATCATGAACTATCTTCTTTCACTTCATTGTAAAGAGAGCTGCTTCCCTCTTGCCTGTGCAAACAACAAAAAACTGACATGAAGTTATTCCCTGTTTTATTAGAATTGGTATCATAGATATATTATAGCTATGAGTCCTTAAATTTCTCCCATGTAAAGACTATCAGTTATATCTTAGAAAATAAAAAATGTATTGACATCCTAGCGTATTGGTGAATCACTAGTTTTCTCTACTTTTCATTAAAAGTCTAAGTTTAAATAGATGAAATTCAGTCTCATTTTAATCTTTTGGTTTTATTATTGTAAGGTTGAACAGTTTCAAACTTTACTGTATTGTATTGCTGTGTATTTACCAAATATATCTTCACAGTGCAGTAGTTCCAAGATAACCAGTAATGTGAATAAAAAGTTGTTGAATACTTTAGTTCTAATGGCCAAGAAATATAGATATGAACAAGTGACCAGGTTGAGAGAGGGAGGGAGGGGAAGAAGAGAAGAACCTATAGATTAAAAGAGACTTTAAGAAGCACATTAACTGCCCTGGCCAGTTTTCTCAGTGGTTAGAGCATCAGCCTGCGGTCCAGAGAGACCCAGGTTCGGTTCCCGCTAAGGGCACGTACCTCGGCTGCAATTTGTCCCCTGCCCTGGTTGGGTCATGCGTGCAGGAGGCAGCCACTTGATGTGTCCCTTTCACGTCGATGTTTCTCTTTCTTCCTCTCTCTCCCTCCCACTCTATCTGAACAAAAAATGAAAAAATGTCCTCGGGTGAGGATAAAAAAAATGTTTAAAAAAAAAAGAAGTGCATTAACCAATTTCAATAATGGACCTTATTTGGATCCCTATTTCAATAAACTGTCAAAATCATTTAAGATCAGAAAATTTCTGATGATATTAAGGAATTGTGGGTCTGTGTGTGTGATGATATTGTGGTTATGTTTTTAATGTCCTTATCGTTTAGATGAACATACTGAAATGTATAGATGAAATGATACGATGTCTGAAATGTGCTGAGGTGAGACCAAGGAATGGGTTGGGGTATAGATAAAACAAGATCGACCATGAGTGAACAATTGTAGAAACTGTATAAGTGTGTGGGGAGTTCAGATTTGTGTTCTGCCCCCCATCTCATCTTTTTTTTTTTTTTTTGGTTAATCCTCACCCAAGGATATTTTTTTCCATTGAAATTTTTTTTTTTTTTTTTTTTTTTAGAGAAAGTGAAAGGGAAGGAGGGAGGGAGGGGAAAGGGAAGAGAGAGAGAGAGACATTAATGTGCGAGACACATCGATTGGTTGCCTCCCACACATGCCCTGACCGGGCTGGGGATTGAACCCACAACCCATGACTGGCAGTCAAACCCTTGCCCCTTCAGAGCGCAGGCTGATGCTCTAACCACTGAGCACACTGGCCAGGGCTCTCTTCATTTTTATATACCTTTGAAATTTTTCACAATAAGTTTTAACAGATGTTGAAGTTTTCAAAAGCCTTAGGAAAGTTCAATTTCTGACTTTTCTACAGTTTATGGTAATTAGCAAATTCACTTTATCAAATCTTGTATCTTTAAGCAATACCTCTTAAGGTACAAACCACACTCCTATTAACTTGTGGTTATGAACATTCTTACTGTTTAATACTTTCTTATGTAAACACTACAATGTTATATCATTTAAATTCCTATGATGTTCTATAAAGTACACAATTATAAATCAGCTCACCTACGAGAGGTCAGCAGTACACCATCTAATAACTTCGTTGAAGACGCAAAAGGTTATAGAAAAGAAGTTTTATTAAGTACAATTTCATATTTAGAACATTCAAAATTACCAGTGTGATTGGTCTTTAGGATACATAACTCTTAAAATACACAAGTTATATACAGACATTAGAAACTCAGTCTCCAAAATACTCAATAAAGATGTGTGGGTGACACTTATAGAACTGACCTAGCAATTTTTTCTTCTCTTTGGCAGACAGTTTTGGATCCTTATCAATAGTTTTTAATAAATTCAGTAGCTCATCCTTGGTTGTCTTCTGTGTATGTTCAGAATACTCACTTTGATCAATTCTCTGGCAAAAAGTATATCCTTAAATATTAAAAGAAGTGCAGTTAATGAATCTGTTCTTCAAATTCAACATAAAAATCAAGTAATATTTTTATATTTTTATTCTCCATTTTGTAAAATGCACTGAAGATGCTAAGCACTGACTTTCTAACCCTGGTCAAGCTGCATTTGAGCATAAGGAGGCTCTTTGCTAAGACTGAGGAGATTGTTTAAAGTTTAGTTGAAATTAAGTACAACTACTTACAGCAGAATACTTTCAAATAAATAGTAGGA